CTACCATGTGTTGGCCGCAGCTGTCCAGGTACCAGGTGTTATGGTTATCGGTGTTGTTGTTGCGCAAGAGTAGCGCGAGTAGCGGAGTCACCAAGGTACGAAGCGCTGATGCTCGCGAGGCGGGCTTTCCCGCAGCTGGATTGGCTGATGCCAATCTTGCTCGTCTTCGTCATACAGGTAATAATGGTCTTCTGTGAGAGGATTGTTACATCCTTCCTCTGGTTGAATGAGCCCTTCGCGAAGTTCGTCCTCTTCGTCTGGTTCAGCAGTGCGGGGGTGGCACCTTGTCGCCATGTTTTCAATCACCTTTCTTGGAGCTCCTGCTTGAGATCCTTGTGCCTGCTGTTGTTGGTGTTGTGCAGGGTGACGAGAGTTTTGATGCTGGGACTGAGGATGACGAGCGTCTTGTCGCTTGACCCAGTTGTTATGGTGAGTGGAGTTCGGGTGGCGATAGTTGGATCGGGATTTGCATCGATCCGTTGAATGTCCGAAGACTTTGCATATTTTGCAATAGTGGCGCCTTGGTTGTTGTCTCTCTTCACGGTTGTCTGTGTAGAAGGTGAGGCGCTCTCGGCGCGGCTCGGAGCTTGTTCTGCTCGAATCCATGTCCTGCTGTTCAGTCAGGAGGGCGGCGCATAGCGCGGCTTCAGAGATGATTCCTCGTTGTCGGAGGAGCGCTTTGCAGAGCTTCCACTCAGACCCGAGTCCTTGAAGGACTATATTGACGAAGATCTCTTCCGAGATTGCGCTCCCATGCTTCGTGATCTGGTCATGGATGTTCCGACAGCGGTTAGTATAAGAGTTTGCATTCTCCCCGTGCCCCATCTTTGTCTCCATGAGTTGCTGCAAAAGCCTGCTGGCGGTGACCGAATCCGTCGGCTGATATACCTCAACGAGGTGCTTCCAGGCTTCCAAGGCTGGAGTGACGCTCTCTTTGTAGGAGCGAATGCTGAGTTGTTCCGCAGGCATCATATTACGTAGCAGCACACTGTATGCCATGAGGGACTCGCTGTAGTACTGAGCCCTGGCGTCGTTGGTGTCTTCCACCAGTTTTGAGTAGGAGCCGTCGAAGTAATGGTCGATCTGCGATGTCTGTAGGAGGAGCTCAAGCTCAAAACTCCATGTACAAAAGTCCTTGCCGTCGAATCCGGCAGTAGTCTTGAGTTTTGAAACGCTGAGAAAGCGTGCTTGCGCAGAGTTGATAACTTCATCACTTGGACGGGGAGCAGTAGTTGATTATTTGTCTGTGTCGGGGGAGAAGGTATGCGTGGCGGTATCACGGCTTTTCGCAGCCTGTTGTCCAGGTTGAACTGGTTGGGAAGAGGTTCCCGCATCGCCTTTGCGCAGTTCTTGGAGGTCTTTCTCCATAGTTGATCGCGAAAACAGCTGCTCGAGTGCGGCAGTGCTGATCGTAGTTGTCGCCTCATTTGTCGCAGCCGGGTTGGTTTGCCCTTCGGCCGTCAGATTAGCTTGGCCTCCGGATCCTCCGGCCATGTTGGTCTTAAAGCGTGTGCCGCTCGCCAGATCTTGGTTCGGCAAATTTCACGGAAGTGAAGTTGCGAAGAATCCCTGAATAGCTCTCATACCATGTTACGATCCCAAGTGGGACTTAGCGAAGGATCGCTCAGGGTTGATCGCAAAGTAGTGTTGCAGCAGATGTTTGAATCTGAGGTCAGAGTGAATGTAAATGACTGAGTTGATAATAGCATGCATACATCGAGTTTATACAGGAAATATAAAGGAATACGAAAAGTCCTACACTAGCCATGTACTCTAAGGGGTACATTCCCTTATTGCAGCGAATTCAAACCGTGCGGCGCGGGAACCCGTTTCAAACCTGTTCCCGCTCTTTTCATTTCAAATGTTTCTGCCTGCATCGGTCTTGGTCAGACGGTTGCTGCGTCGCTTCGACTCTTCTGACTCCTCGACTTCGTACTCGGTAGAGTCGGCTCCTGCAGCATACAGGAATGCCTTCTCATACAACTTCATATCGTAACACTAGCAAGGTCCACAATGAAGATTATAGCGTAGTGCTGTCTGATAATAGGTATAAGGAAAATTCCTTTTCCTTACTTCGCGTCCCTGCTCAGCGCGTACACCACTGTTCCCGCCAACAGCACCCGTTACCACTCGCGACACTCTCCTCGACACTATTCCCGCCACTGTTCACGACGCGACCCAACCTCACGGTTCGGCTGGTAACTCGCGCTCCGGACCTCCGCCTCGACATTTCTCAAGTTCGGCGCCAGGCCCATCGCCAGGGCCTCAGATATCAGGATAATTTATCCTGATTCTCCTGAATTCAGGATAGCTGTGGGGTCCCAGTCCTGGAAAAACAGCAAAGCGAAAAACTTGTCCTGGAATTTCAGTATAAGTGTTAAGTTGCGTGCTGGAAATTCAGTATAGGCCTATAGGTTCATTGTAGTGTTGAGAGTCGTCCTGAATCGAGTACTGCGCCAATTTCGCCCGGGGCCTAGTGTACCCAACCACCGACCAGGTACTGCGTAAGTTATGCTCCGTAATTGACGCCCTGACTTTGATGCCTCTGCTGGAAACCACGCCGCGCCAACCGTGGAAACCTGCATTGCTGTAATATCGACCAATAAGAGTGCGCCGCGCTCACTTTACACGAGGGGAAAGCACGGCCATCTTTGCTGAACGCTGGCATCACGTGCTTCCCTCCAGCCTGTACACACTGTTTTCATCCACCCACACCCGCATGCAGACACAAACCAACGAATGGTTCACGCGCCACCATGCACCGCTCAAGCGTGCCTGCCCAGCTCAAGACTGTTGTGTGGCACCGCGACACCCTTGGCCGAGGCGCCATGTGTATGGGGTTGGTTTGGATGGCAAGGTTCAGGAATCTTTCTGATTCCGTCTCTTCCTCCTTCCTCTCCAGCTTGCTGTTGAGTGCCTACCAAACCCCTGGCTGACTCCCAAGAATGTTTGTTTTCCCCGTGATTTTGCTAGCTCCTCGTAGGTTTGTCTCTGATTACAATCGTCCACTGCTGTTCGCCCATGGCTGACCCATCGCCGGTGGGCGATGGTGAAGCACCCGCCATGCCTAACCCAACGGTCGGCCCAGTAGGGTTGACGGGCCTGGATTTCTTGCGCACCAGGCCCGTTCAGCCGCCGCCACCACCCACGGTAGATGTTGCCGCTGTCGCTGCTGAAACCATCCCTTCGCCGTCTCAGCCGCCCGTGCCTTCTCCCTCGACAGCAGCACCGGTCGTGGTTGATAACGAGCCTTTGCCTCCGCCGATTCGTACGCAGGGGGAGTGCTCGAAGGCCGCTGGGACAACCCGGAAGGGACCTCCGAGCAAGAAGGTCTCCGCGCAACGATACCACCAGACGAAGTTGTCCTTCGTCCGTACATCAGACAACACTGCGGTGCTGTCCGTCTCCAGGCAAGATCCGGAACCCACTGTGCTTGTTGAAACCGCCCCCACTGCTTCCTCTGACACCGAAATACCCGACATCGCTGAGGAGAAGTACCAGGAAGCTCTGCTCATGTTCAAGAGGAGGTGGAACGAGGACTTCCCGTGGCTTATCATTTGTCAGACCTCATATGGATTCCCTTCTATGAAGTGCACTGTGTGTATGGCATATGGAGGCACAGGAACGAACTTCGGGAAAGGCGAGGGGGCACTGGATGTGCAGACGCAAGCCATGCAGCGACATCAGCGATCAACGAAGCACAGGGACGCTATTCGCAACCAGGAGCTGGCGTTGGCGAAAGCAACCGGCCAGCATCGCATCCCCGACTGCCCGACGGCGCGTGACCTCGAGCATGATGCTGTGGAGTCGCTGCTGGACACGCTGCTGTTCATTACAAAGACCGACGCACCCATAGAGATGTGGGTGCAACTCGTACGGCACCTTGCTTCCCGCGGGACTCCGGGCTTCCCGAAGAACGGCTACGGCGCTTATTATACAACGTAAGTGATGCCTTCGATTTTCTAATTTACAACGTGGTTGCCGTAACGGTCGAAACTTTCATGGCCTAACACTCGAGTTTTCTAACTGTGTCTGCGCAGGTACGGGTTCCAGGAACTGGTGTCGGCTACAGCGAGCTATCTTCGTGCGAAGCAACGCGAGTTCATCGACTCAAGCCCCTTCATTGGCTTGAGCTGTGATGAGAGCACCGACCGCGTGCGGGGGAAGCACATGATCGTCTTCGTCACCTTTTTGAGAGAACACAAGGTGACCACGGAATTCCTGACGCTCTTGACCGTGGAGAAATGTGATGCAGGATCACTGTATGCAGTGCTCGTCGGTTTCCTCGACAGCATCAACATTCCCCTAGGCAAGATCGCAGGGATCAGCACCGACGGCGCTCCAGTTATGCTCGGCGGCACCAACGGTCTCACTGGGCGGCTTCGACTCTGCATCCCGCACCTGGTTTCGTGCCACTGCATCGCACACAGGTGGGAATTCTGCATAGCCTGTTTCTTTTATTTGTTCTGACTGTCTGACGCCCTTGTTGCTTTATGCCTGGCAGGGAGGCACTTGCCGCAAAGGACTCTGCTGAAGCCCTCCCGGAGCTCCAGATGGTTGACGTCCTCATCCGTGCTTTGGCGGAGCATCTCGGACGCAGCTCGACCTCGCATGCAACATTCAAGGAGATCCAGTCCGTCTTCACCCGGACGAACCTGGAGCTGCAAGGCATCCACGCCATCCGCTGGTTAAGCCGTGGTGACGCGATTGCGCGGTTCGTGAAGGTGCTACCGGCGGTGGTGGTCCTCCTGGAGCAGCTGGATAAAACCTGTTACCAAATGGTCACCAGCCTGAAGTTTCACTTTTACGTGTACTTCCTGGCGGATGTACAAGTCGAGCTGAACATGCTCAACCTTCTCTTCCAGCGGCGCGAGGTATTTGCTACACATTTTCCAGAAGTGTCGTCTCACTTGACCTGATACTTACTGTCCTTTTATGTCGTCTGTCCTCCCTGCCCCTCAACCCGAACACAGGTGGACTTGACGGCGGTTCACTCCCAGATGAGGCGCCTCGAAGTTTTCATCAGGGAGCGGTACATTGACTGTGGGCAGCAGTTCGGTGCTGGGTCGAGCGCTCTGCTATCGCCGTTCCTTGCACGGCACAGTGCTGCATGCAGCAGGAGCATGAAAGTGCAGGGAGTGGACACCGACGGTGAGCCAAGGGAGCATGAGTTCACCCTGCACGAGGAGCCGATTCCTGGCTACGCGGAGGGCGTCGGTGACCTGCCGTCTTGCATTCGGACGTGCCGCTCGTTTGCGACGGAGCTGCTGTACAACCTCGACTTTCAGCTTGGCGACCTGTCAAACCTCAACGCCGCAAAGCTATTCATGCCAAGGTCATGGCCGCGAGGAAAAGAGGCGAGGGACGCGGAGTGCAAGGAACACCTGGAGAAGCTGGCGGTGATGTTCCATGCGCGCGACAGGGAAGAGATCCTTCCTGGTGAGTTTCCGTGTCTGTTTACACACTTCACGTTGCAGTATAAATTGCACCCTTAGAGAAGACTCCGCCATGTAACCGCCAGAGATGACCCTAAACCCTCGTGTATGTTTTCTTTTAACACCCCACCAAGCAGGTGTCAACAAGCGCAAAGTGCGGAAGGAGATGCGCACTTTCCTATCTGTGCTGTCCGGGGCGCCAAAGGAGGAGCAGCCGTTCCATGCTGGCTTGCGGGCGATATTGTCAACATCGGACTGGCAGCGGACCTATCCGAACCTGGTGCGGCTGTGGGCGGCCGTGGCGGTGTTGCCTCTCAGCACGGTGGAGTGCGAGCGCGGATTTTCGCGCCAAAACGTGATCAAGAGCTGGATCCGGACCAGCTTGCATGACGCGAAGCTGGCCGACCTCATGACGCTCAGCTTGTTAGACTACGACATGGTGTGGAGCGAAGTCGTGGCACTGTGGCGCAGCACCAAGAAGAGGCGACCCACCAAGCGAAAGGCAGCAAAGGTGGATGTATCGAGGAGGAGTGGCACAGGGTTCCGGGGGTCACTAGCAGAGAAGCGTGACCATCATCACGCTGCTGAGGATGGGGATGCTGTAGACAGTGGGGGGGACAATGAAGATGATGCTTTTGAAGATGATCAGGTGGAGGAGGATGAGGGATTTTGAAGTGCATGTTTAATATTTATCATAAGAAAAAGAACTTTCATAAGGGCTCTTAAGTCACTATTACTGTGCCCTGCTCTGCCTGATTGATTGGTCTGTGTGTGATGTGTTTACAGAAAATGAAAGGGAAACTAAGCTTCTAACATAGAGCACAGGATAAAGTGAAAAGTAGCACTGACTTGGCAGGATAATGTCACTTGTAGCACTGACCCTACAGCATACCCACCCTTGCTCTATCCTGACAGTTCAGGACAAAATAGGAATCCTTAAAACCTGCCCTGAGTCCACAGGGTACCCTCAAACGAATCTGAGGCCCTGCCCATCGCGCACCCCATTTTCACGCATTACCATTACCACTGTAGTTTCGCTATATATTCTTCGCGCATGCCTTCGCTCATTGTACTCTTGCTTCGATAGTGCAATTCTCGCTCGCTCACTCAATTGCACAATAGGAATCTTCAAACTGGGACATTAGTGTATCCGGCCTGGCTGGGAAACCTTGCTCGGCATTCCAAACGTCACAATTCCATCAAACCACCATTCACCCGCAGCTGCAGACTGCCTTGGCACTTGGGAAAATATGGTCGTTTTACCAAACCTACCCCGAGTTCAGCCAAGCCCATTCGCTACTTCGGGGATACAGTTTCGCACATTTCGGTTCGTTGACACCTGTTTCGCAGCGAAGCCACGCCCATCCGATTCGATCCAAGCAACCCACAGTTCGTCGTCATCATTCCGCGCTCCGCCTCCGCCCCCTTCGGTGCACCCTGGAAAGCATCGATGGAAGCAGAATCGGCTCTATGGTTTCTTTTCAGCAGAATGCAAGCACTTGAGAGACTGGATCCGCGAACGTTTCGTGCTGATCACCGTGTCCCTTTTGCTGGTTTCGCTCGTCTCAACGCAGTAGACTCGTCTCCTCTCATCTCCGCGACATCCATTCCAGAAGATTTTCTGGAATCATCGAATCCGCTTCAGTTTCGCACATGTCAGCTGCGCAGACCGACCGCTGCAGTCGAGTTTCCAGATGATCTTCATCGGTTTTATCCATTCTCATTAATCTCCAGTAAGTAGCCATGCCGCCGTTTACGACTCCGAGGGCCGAGGCGCGTCGCCATCAGCAGCTACAGCAGCGGCAGCGGAGTCGCGCGCCGTGGCTCGCCGGCTGGAATCGCCAGTGCCTCGCTGCGATCAATCTAGACGTCGCCTGGGCGCGCTTCGTAAAGGCAGTCGGCCGGCGGTTAGAGTCCCCAAACCGGCCGGCTAAGTCCGGTTACTATGCCGGCTGTAACGGCTGCCTAGCCGGCGTAGCGCTAGTCTGCGCGCTGCTCGTCGTCCTCCCGCTCATTCTCCAGCGCCGCGCGTTTCTCTCCTCTTCCGCCTTGCGCGCCGCGTCATCCATCGACCGCGAGGCGCTGGCGGTGGCGGTGGAGCGGCGCGGGCCGTACATCGACTCCGCCGACATCAGCGCCGCCTCCGCGTGGCCCTCCGCGCTCGACGATCTGCCGCCACCGCGCGATGATTCCGTGCGCGGGACTGTTGCGCGCGCGCGCGGGGATGGGGGTGCGGGTGGCGAGGGGGTGACAGGGGGGAACGGGGAGGGTGAAACGCGGGAGGGGGGTTTGCGAGAGGGGGAGCTGCAGGGGGAGGGGGAACGGAGAAGCGGAGGGGAGGCGGAGGGGGGAGCGGAGGCAGCGTGTGCGTCAGGAGGCGCGGGGTGCCCTTACCCTGACATTGTCGTGCGCGCCAAGGTAGGGGCTTTCTGTGTAGCACCCTTTCAGGGTAAGAGCTGGCAGGGTAGGGCCCTTCCAGGGTAGGGCCCTTCCAGGGGAGCGGATGTGGGCGTGCGAGGCAGGGGAGGGCGTCAGGCGGGTGGGGCTTACTGCCAGGGTGGCCGTGGTGGCGTGCAGTAGCGTGCGCGCGCATGACATTCCACGGCACTGCACACTGCACCGCAGCGCCCTTGCCTTCCCAGGCAGTGCGCTCTTGTGTCGCCCCCAAGCACTGCTCCTCTCCTGCACGCTCCTCTTTTTCTTCGCCTCACCTGCTCTCCCCACACATTACCCCCCCTCCACTCTCCCCCCCTCCTTTCACTCCCCCTTTCCCCTCGCTCCCTCCCCAGGGACCGCATGGAGGCGGTGTGTGCGGGGTATGCCATCACACAGCTGCTCCCCTTGCGCCTCTCCCCTTCGCCACTTCCTCCCTTGCTCTTCCCCCCACCCTCCCCCTTCCCAGGGTCCCCTACATGCGCGCATGGAGGCAGTGTGTGCGGGCTACGCCATCACGCAGCTGCTTCCCTTCTCTCTCCTATCCACTTTCCCCAACGCCCCTCGCCTTTCCCCACTCTCTTCTTCCCCAGGGCCCCCTGCATGCGCGCATGGAGGCGGTGTGTGCGGGCTACGCCATCACACAGCTGATCCCTTTGCGCCTCTCCCCTTCGCCACTTCCTCCCTTGCTCTCCCTGTCCCCCTCCCTCTCCACATCCCTCTCCCCAGGGCCCTCTACATGCGCGCATGGAGGCGGTGTGTGCGGGCTACGCCATCACGCAGCTGCTCGCCATGAAGCTCTCCCCGCCCGTCGTTGACGCCGTCGGTGTCCCCCACCCGCACGGCCCCCACGCTGCTGCTGCTGGCGCGGCTGCCGCTGCTGGTATGGATGCTGCTGCTGCTGCTGCTGCTGGCAGCAGTGGGGGCAGCAGCAGCAGCGGGGGAGCAGAGGGGCCAGGGGTGGGAGAGGAGGGGGTGAGGCAGCTGCGGCTGGCGGTGCTGTGGCAGCCGGACAGCGGCGTGTGGGACGCGCACTTCCACCACCTCTTCCTGCCCCTGCCGCTCTCGCCCTCCCTGCCTGACGACCACGATGCACCGCACAACGGGTCACACAACGACCCACGCGCTGCGGGTGCTGCGACGGTGGCGGTGCTGCACGAGAAGCCGCTGTGGCTGCACTCGCCACTCTACGCTGAAGGGGTGAGTCAAGTCTTGCTGTACAGTGGGGTGGGGTGGGGTGCGGTAGAGTAGATGGTAGGCTTGTGGCGGTTGATGCATGACCGGCAGAGGTGGGCAGGGGTGCGCAGTTGGGTTGGAGTATGACCTGCCAAAGCTTTAGCAATGCTACTGCTGTTTCAGCTCGAATAATGCCTGCCTATCATTGCCTTTCTATGCTGTTGGCGGACCTGGATTATCGGAACGCAGAGGGGGGGGTGGGCATGAGCAGGTGCGTTGCGCTGCATGGCAGCACCCGAAACTCTTCTCGCTGCTGCCTGCCTGTCCTCTTTGCCGCTGCAATTCTGTCACTCTCCTTTGGACAAAAGTTGGGGCCTTTGTACAACCTTCTCCCTCGCACTCTCCGTCTTGCCTGCTCCCCACCCGTCATCCCACCTGTGCCACGTCAGAGGCTCGACCTGGACATTGTGCCAGCTCCTGCACAGTCACCGCCACGTCAACAGCCACCTCAGCAACCACAGCCGCAACCACAGCCGCAGCCACAGCCAGGTCAGCCGCAGCCGCAGCACAACCCGCACGGTGCGCAGCAGGCGCCGTGGCTGGTGGAGCAGCCGCCCGTCCCCTTCCCCACCCACCCTCACACCACTCGCCGCCGCCTGCTGGGCACCGGCGCCAACAGGGTGAGCAGCAGCACCGGCACTGGCAGTGGCAGGGCGCGCTCCTCCCAGCAGCTCAGAAGTGGCCGCCTCGCGTCTGCTCGCCTGCTGCTGTCTCCTCCTGGGTCATCCTCCCCTGGGGCCGAGCCTGATACGCAGAGCAGTGGAGGGCAGAGAAATGGTGGTCAGAGCACTGACGGGCAGAGCACGGGGCGAAGGCGACTGGCAGAGGCGGCAGGAGGCAACACAGGAAGCTCAGGAAGCACAGGTGGCAGCAGCAGCGGCGGCGGTGGCGGTGGCAACACGGTGTCTGTGAGCCTTCACCTGCTCTCGTCCCTGCGCAGTGCTGCCACGAGCATGGAGGTGGTGAGTGCATGGAGGTGGTGAGTCAATGGTATGGGTCACTTCCTCACCACTCTCTCCCTGCACCACCCATCTCTTTGCTACATGCGCTTTCCTCCTCTCCCTCTCTCTCTCCCCACCAGGCGCCCGGATCAGAGGAGGCGATGGAGCTGCAGGCGTCCATGGTGGAGTGCTACGGCATGCTGCACCCCTCGCCCGCCGTGCACGAGATAGTGGCATGGGAGAACCTCACTCACGTGCGCCACAGCACCGCCGTTTACATGGAGGTATGCTGCACTGCTGCTACCCTCCCTACACTTCTACCCTCTGCGTTCTGCCCTCACGCTATGTGAACACACTTTTAGATAGCTGCTACAATGCAACCACTTGCTTTCTTCCTCATGCTCCTACCTTCTCATACACTCGCCCTTCAGTCAAGCTCTGCCCTTGTGGCCCGTTCCGATCACCCTTCTGTTCGCCCATGGCAGCCGGTGCTATCAGGGTGCACGGGGTGCGATGTGAAGCAGGTGGTGAACTGCACGGCGCGGCGCCTCATGTGGCTCTTCCTCGCGCACCCCGCCACCGCCACCACGCTCGCCGCCTTCTGGCCCTCGCACGCCCTCGCCGTCGCCCACACCTTCCACCCCGCCCGCCAGCCGCACCTCCTCCGCACCACTCTGCACCGCTCTGAACAGTGCCGGCCGAACCCCCAGCGCGGGGAGATGGCGGCGCCGCCCATCGTGCCGCACCCGTGGACGCCGAAGCAGATCGCAGAGAAGCGGCACCGCGCTGACATGGCCAAGAACGTGAGCCGCGCCGACGCTGCTGCTGCTGACGTGGCGATGAGTGTGGCGAGCAGGAAGGAGCGCAAGGAGTGGCTGGATAAGGCGGTGCAGGAGCAGCTGCAGGCGGAGAAGCGGAGCGCGCGAGGCACGGGCGAGGGCGGAGGGGAGGAGGGGAGCGGGGCAGGAGCAGGAGAGGAAGGAGCGGGGGGAGGGGAGGGAGGGAGTGTGAGCTTGATTGCAGGTGTGGACGGGCCGGAGGGAGCGGGAGAGGCAGGCGGGATGGACGCGAAGGGCGATGCACGGAGGGAGCGAGTGCTGGAGTTTCTACAGAAGATGTACGGGCCGGGCATGGGGGCAAGGCAGCTGGGCAAGACGGAGGGCGAGCAGCGGCGGCAGATCAGAGCGATGCTGAAGGAGCTCATGGGGCGCGACTGGAAGACGGTGCTGGCGGGGGAGGAGGAGGGCGAGAAGGAGGGCGAGGGGGACGGGGAGGGGGAGGGGGAGGGGGAGGGGCAGGGCAAGCAGAATGTTTTCAGTCTGGTGAGATTGCGGCGGTTGCTGCAGTCTGAGGAAGGGGAGGATGGTGAGGAGAATGGGAAGGGGAATGAGGCGCATGCAGGCGCGGGAGAAAGAAGGCGAAGCAGGAGCAGCAGCAAGGCGAGGCCCGGGAACAGCTGAGGAAACAGATGGCGCTGGCAGAGAAAGAAATGGCCGAGAGGGAGGCGAAGGAGAGGGAGGTGGTGCAGAGGGAGTGGGAGGGGCTGGACGCGAAGCAGCGGTCGATCCGGTGCTCCCAGCTGGAGGCGGCGGAGCTGTTCGCGCTCTCCCACGCGCTGCGCCTCGTCCACCTGCAGCACTCGCCCCAGGCCGACTTCCTGCACGCGCAGGCCATGGCCAGACGCGCCCAGGAGGCTTCGCAGGCTGCGGGTGGGGCTGTGGGGAGGGGCGAGCGGGGCGGCGGGGGGTGGGTGGGGGCGATGGCGGAGGGCGTGGAGCGCGGCGAGGAGGTGGGGCTGGTGCGCGAGGAGACGGTGTGCCAGGCACCGTCGACCAAGCCCATCACGAAGCACCGCATCGGGCACCAGCTGATCGTGGATGGTGAGGGATGGGTGGGAGGGGGGAATGGGTGGGTGGGATGAGTGGGTGCATGGGATGAATGGGAATGAGATGTGTATGGTTTGCAGTGGATTCTGCTTGTGCTGTGTGTATGTACATATATGACTTAGTGCAAGTGCTCACTACAATACTGTTTGTGAAGTAGGCATGAGCAAGCTGGCATACATGGATGTCATCGCCCTCCTCACCTCACCTCACCTCACCTCACCTCACCTCACGTCACCTCACGTCACCTCACGTCAGGCAAGCGGACACCCTCTCCCTCCGCCCTCCCTGCACGTGTCAGCATCACCTTTCCTTCGTGCCTCTCCTCACACCCCTCCCCTCTGCGCCCCTGTCCCATGTCCCCACACCAGAGGGCATAGGGTTGCTGTACTGCTGGGTGCCCAAGGTGGCGTGCACGAGTTGGAAGGTGTGGCTGCGGCAGCAGCACCACGACAGGCACAGCAACGACCTGCTGTCAACGCACCGCCCCTTCGCCTCCAACATCACCGAGCTCTGGTACGCGCTGTCGGAGCCCGCAGCCATCCGCGCCGTCACGCGCCCCGACCTGCTGCGCTTTGTGTTCGTGCGGCAGCCCTTCGAGCGCATCGTCTCCGCCTACCTCAACAAGCACGTGGCGGGCGGCGGGCCCGATGGATGGGGGCGCAAGTTCTGGAATCTGGTGAGTTTGGGCCGGTCGGTGGTGGGGTGGTTGGGTTATGGGGGGTTGACAAAAGCAGTGGTGTGTGTGTGACGGGTGGCAAGTCAAGGGTGGCGGGTGGTCAGAGGTTGGGCGCGAGGAGATTCTAGAGGCGATCCAATCCAGTCCAATCTTTCTGTTCTGGTCGCTCAAGGGTGGGGAGGAACCTCACAGGGGCACTCACTGTGTGATGGCGAGTGAGTGACAGTGGTGCTGCGAGCTCCTCGCACCACCTGCATCCACACCCTTACTTGACCCTTCTCGTCCTCGCTCTCTCCCCGTCCCTGCCCTATTTGGCAGCAGCGGCGTGGCGGCGGTGCAGGGCGGAGCGCAGGAGGGCGCGCTGGGCACGGCGGTCGAGCAGGGGGAGCGGGATGGCGGAGAGGGAGCGCGCGAGCAGCGCGTGGGAGAAGGCGGCGCTGCACTGCTGCTGCGCATGCTCCTCACAGGCGGCCTGTGGGCGTGCATGGGGGCACACGGGGTTGAGAAGACAAGGAGCATTCAAATGGAGGGACCACGAGGGGAGGAGGGAGTAATGGAAGGGGGCCAGGGGGGCATCAGTGCGAGCAAAGGGGCCAAATGGATGCAAAGAGGAAACTTGAGCGGAGCACGGAGGGATGATGGAAGGCGAGGCATGGCGTGGTGAGCGACCTGTGCGGTTGTGCCAAAGTACCTGTGCGCTTGTGCCAAAGTACCTGTGCGCTTGTGCCAAAGTACCTGTGCGGTTGTGCCAAAGTACCTGTGCGGTTGTGCCAAAGTACCTGTGCGCTTGTGCCAAAGTACCTGTGCGCTTGTGCCAAAGTACCTGTGCGGTGGCGAGGCACGCCATCATCTCCCGCTCCTCACACGCCTCGCGCTCCTTCTCCTCCTCGCCGCCCCTGCCCGCCCCTCCGCCCACCCCCAGCAGCTCCATGACCCCCAGGAAGCCGCCCCCCGCGCCCCTCAGCCCCCACGGCAGCGCTGCCTGGCACCGCTCGCTGGCGCGCACTGAACACCCCATGCGCGCGCCCACCTGGGGGGGAGGGGGGAAGGGGGAGGAAGGGCAGGGGAGGAGGGGGAGAAATAGGGGGTGGGAGGGGAGAGATTAAGTAACGTGGACGTGGGGGAGGGGGAAGAAAAGTTGTGAGAAAGGGGGGGTGAGGGTGGAGCAGGAGAAAGGAGGATGGAAGAGGAGGGCGGGAAGAATGGGAGATGGTGAGAGCCTTGCTAACGATGAAGAATGCATTCAGCGTGAGCCCGCTCCCACGCTCACCTCGCACTGCTCACCACGCACTGCTCACCTCGCACTGCTCACCACGCACTGCTCACCTCGCACTGCTCACCACGCACTGCTCACCACGCACTGCTCACCTCGCACTGCTCACCTCGCACTGCTCACCTCGCACTGCTCACCTCGCACTGCTCACCACGCACTGCTCACCTCGCACTGCTCACCACGCACTGCTCACCACGCACTGCTCACCATGCACTGCTCACCTCGCACTGCTCACCTCGCACTGCTCACCTCGCACTGCTCACCTCGCACTGCTCACCTCGCACTGCTCACCTCGCACTGCTCACCATGCACTGCTCACCTCGCACTGCTCACCTCGCACTGCTCACCTCGCACTGCTCACCTCGCACTGCTCACCTCGCACTGCTCACCTCGCACTGCTCACCTCGCACTGCTCACCTCGCACTGCTCACCTCGCACTGCTCACCTCGCACTGCTCACCACGCACTGCTCACCTCGCACTGCTCACCTCGCACTGCTCACCTCGCACTGCTCCGCTATCTTGCGCTCGCACGCCCCCCACGCGCTGCGCCAGCTGGGCTCGTCTTGGAACGCCAGCACCCACGCGCCGCGCTCGGGGCTGTCGGCGGGACCCGCGCGCACGGGCACGCGCAGCGGCGGCAGCGGCGCGGGCGAGAAGGCGACGGTGGTGACGGCGGGCGCCAACTCGAGGTCCCCCGCGTCCAGCCCGCCGTACGTCCCGCCGTCCATGCCGCCTGGCGGGGAGGCGTAACGGGAAGTGGGAGAGGAGGGAAGAGTGGCGTTGGCAGAGTTAAGTGTCAAGGGAAGGGAGTGCAATGGGCACTCGCCCTTCCCCCGCAGGAGCGGGAGGGGAGATCGGTGGAGAACGATAGAGAGTGGTGAGAATGGGAGTGGAGTGGAAGGCAGGCCGCGAGGAGCGCGGGTGAGAGGGGAGGCGCGGGACCAAGAGAGGGGGTGCGAGGCGGCAAGAATGTGCGAGGAGCGGCGGCGATGGGCGACGCACCCGAAGCCGCGAGGGGGCCGCTGATGGTCCCTCCCGCGCCGCCCTCCATGCTGCTGCGCTGCCCGCCGCTCGCCCGCTGCCGCGGCGGAGTGGTGGCGCGGAGGGAAACGGTGGTGGGCGCGGCGTTGCGCAGGTGGATGCGACGGGCGACAGGGGCGTTGAGCGCAGGACCCGCGGAGATGAGGGTTGGTCCCACAGAGGCCGTCAACCTTGCCGTGGCTCGTCTGCCTCGCGTCAACGTGGGTCACCGTCGTCGCCCGCTGTCGTCCTTGTCCGAATGATCGTACGCGACTACACGTAATCAATCTGTTCAAACAACAACAGCGTAGCTAGTGTTTCTCTTTATCTCGTGTTTGTTGACAGACCGTTACAAGAACAATCGAATTAGCCGATCACAAATAGATTTCAGTGCTTGTTACCAAATCGGTTCAGGGATGGTTCAATATGGTTGATTTATTGAAGATTAGTCTGCCAGACACACACGGGTGATAAGGTGGAAAAAGTTTGTGTATCTGGCTGGATTTCATATATGATTCCTCCCCAAAGTGTACAAAACCTCTGGAACATTATTAGCAAATACTGGAATTTGTCCCCAGAGAAACCCCATTGTCCACCAAAGCCTGCGGCCAGAGTGCATCCCCCCTCGTTCAAGAGCAACCCAAGGTGCCTTCCTCCCCTCGCACATCCGCCAATGGCGTCGCTTGCGCGCAAGCTCGCCGTCCTCCCCGCAGCTCGCCTCACCGCCCGTCCCCGCTGCTCCTCTTCGCACCTCGCCGTGCCGCGCTCCCGCCATCCCCTTGCGCCTCTCGGTCCGCTCTCCGCCTCCCCACGCTACCCCGCGGCCACGCCGCATATTGCATCCCGTCCGTCCGTCGCTGCTCCTCCGCCGTCCCTTGGTTCTCCACCGCGGCGGGGCGACGGAGCGTGGCTTCGAGCGCGTCGGCGGGAGGCGGGGGGCGGGGCGCGCGCGAGGCGGAGGAGGAGTGGGACCGCGAGGTGCTGGTGCAGCACCTGGTGGTGGGCGCGGACCAGCTGCCGCTGCTGCTGGAGCTGCAACGCCGCATCATGGCGGGTGAGAGGCGAGGCGTGATGGCGGGTGAGCGGCGTGATGGCGGGTGAGCGGTGCTATGGGGCCACGCGTGTTCGAATGTGCTGCACCATGCGCCGTGCATCGCTGCAGCTGCCACAGCGGTACCTCATGCTGCTCTATTCAGTTCCCTCTGGTCCAAGCCACGCCGCCCCCTCTCTTGAACCATCCCTCGACTCCCCCTTGCCGTCCCAACCCAACCACCCACCACTCCCCGCCATGCGAACCGTCCACACACCCCACCACACACCCCACCACACACCCCACCACACACCCCACCACACACCCCACCACACACCCCACCACACACCCCACCACACACCCCACCACACACCCCACCACACACCCCACCACACACCCCACCACACACCCCACCACACACCCCACCACACACCCCACCACACACCCCACCACACACCCCACCACACACCCACCACACACCACACACCCCACCACACACCCCACCACACACCCCACACACACCCCACCACACACCCCACCACACACCCCACCACACACCCCACCACACACCCCACCACACACCCCACCACACACCCCACCACACACCCCACCACACACCCCACCACACACCCCACCACACACCCCACCACACACCCCACCACACACCCCACCACACACCCCACCACACACCCCACCACACACCCCACCACACACCCCACCACACACCCCACCACACACCCCACCACACACCCCACCACACACCCCACCACACACCCCACCACACACCCCACCACACACCCCACCACACACCACCCACCACACCCCACCACACACCCCACCACACACCCCACCACACACCCCACCACACACCCCACCACACACCCCACCACACACCCCACCACACACCCCACCACACACCCCACCACACACCCCACCACACACCCCACCACACACCCCACCACACACCCCACCACACACCCCACCACACACCCCACCACACACCCCACCACACACCCCACCACACACCCCACCACACACCCCACCACACACCCCACCACACACCCCACCACACACCCCACCACACACCCCACCACACACCCCACCACACACCCCACCACACACCCCACCACACACCCCACCACACACCCCACCACACACCCCACCACACACCCCACCACACACCCCACCACACACCCCACCACACACCCCACCACACACCCCACCACACACCCCACCACACACCCCACCACACACCCCACCACACACCCCACCACACACCCCACCACACACCCCACCACACACCCCACCCCACACCCCACCACACACCCCACCACACACCCCACCACACACCCCACCACACACCCCACCACACACCCCACCACACACCCCACACACCCCACCACACACCCCACCACACACCCCACCACACACCCCACCACACACCCCACCACACAACCCCACCACACACCCCACCACACACCCCACCACACACCCCACCACACACCCCACCACCACCCCCACCACACACCCCACCATACACCCCACCACACACCCCACCACACACCCCACCACACACCCCACCACACACCCCTCCCCGGTCGCGCAGACCTGCCGCCTCAACCACCCCCTCCCCTCCCCGCCCCTCCCTCCCTCCCCGGGGGTGCAGACGAATCGGATCTGAGCGACCTGGCGGCGGAGCACTCGCTGTGCGCGTCGAGGGAGAAGGGCGGCATGGTGGGGTGGATCTCCAAAGGCTCCACTGTCAGTCGCCCCCCCGCCCCTCCCTCCTGCCCCCATCGCCCCTTCCCCGCCCCTTCCACGTCTCCCCCCACCATGCTCGCCTCACCACCATGCTCGCCTCACCACCATGCTCGCCTCACCACCATGCTCGCCTCACCACCATGCTCGCCTCACCACCATGCTCGCCTCACCACCATGCTCGCCTCACCACCATGCTCGCCTCACCACCATGCTCGCCTCACCACCATGCTCGCCTCACCACCATGCTCGCCTCACCACCACGCTCGCCTCACCACCACGCTCGCCTCACCACCACGCTCGCCTCACCACCATGCTCGCCTCACCACCATGCTCGCCTCACCACCATGCTCGCCTCACCACCATGCTCGCCTCACCACCATGCTCGCCTCACCACCATGCTCGCCTCACCACCATGCTCGCCTCACCACCATGCTCGCCTCACCACCATGCTCGCCTCACCACCATGCTCGCCTCACCACCATGCTCGCCTCACCACCATGCTCGCCTCACCACCATGCTCGCCTCACCACCATGCTCGCCTCACCACCACGCTCGCCTCACCACCACGCTCGCCTCACCACCACGCTCGCCTCACCACCATGCTCGCCTCACCACCATGCTCGCCTCACCACCATGCTCGCCTCACCACCATGCTCGCCTCACCACCATGCTCGCCTCACCACCATGCTCGCCTCACCACCATGCTCGCCTCACCACCATGCTCGCCTCACCACCATGCTCGCCTCACCACCATGCTCGCCTCACCACCATGCTCGCCTCACCACCATGCTCGCCTCACCACCATGCTCGCCTCACCACCATGCTCGCCTCACCACCATGCTCGCCTCACCACCACGCTCGCCTCACCACCATGCTCGCCTCACCACCATGCTCGCCTCACCACCATGCTCGCCTCACCACCATGCTCGCCTCACCACCATGCTCGCCTCACCACCATGCTCGCCTCACCACCATGCTCGCCTCACCACCATGCTCGCCTCACCACCATGCTCGCCTCACCACCATGCTCGCCTCACCACCATGCTCGCCTCACCACCATGCTCGCCTCACCACCATGCTCGCCTCACCACCATGCTCGCCTCACCACCATGCTCGCCTCACCACCATGCTCGCCTCACCACCATGCTCGCCTCACCACCATGCTCGCCTCACCACCATGCTCGCCTCACCACCATGCTCGCCTCACCACCATGCTCGCCTCACCACCATGCTCGCCTCACCACCATGCTCGCCTCACCACCATGCTCGCCTCACCACCATGCTCGCCTCACCACCATGCTCGCCTCACCACCATGCTCGCCTCACCACCACGCTCGCCTCACCACCACGCTCGCCTCACCACCATGCTCGCCTCACCACCATGCTCGCCTCACCACCATGCTCGCCTCACCACCATGCTCGCCTCACCACCATGCTCGCCTCACCACCATGCTCGCCTCACCACCATGCTCGCCTCCCCACCATGCTCGCCTCACCACCATGCTCGCCTCACCACCATGCTCGCCTCACCACCATGCTCGCCTCACCACCATGCTCGCCTCACCACCATGCTCGCCTCACCACCATGCTCGCCTCACCACCATGCTCGCCTCACCACCATGCTCGCCTCACCACCATGCTCGCCTCACCACCATGCTCGCCTCACCACCATGCTCGCCTCACCACCATGCTCGCCTCACCACCATGCTCGCCTCACCACCATGCTCGCCTCACCACCATGCTCGCCCCCTCACGCTCTCCTGCCTCGCAGCTTGCACGTGCTGGTGGCATCCACGCCCTCACCACGTAACGCCCTCACCACGTAACGCCTTCACCACGTAACGCCCTCACCACGTAACGCCCTCACCACGTAACGCCCTCACCACGTAACGCCCTCACCACGTAACGCCCTCACCACGTAACGCCCTCACCACGTAACGCCCCCACCACGTAACGCCCTCACCACGTAACGCCCCATACTCGTCCACCACTCGTGCGCTCCATGGCATGGAATGGCACCACATGGCATGATGTGGCGTGGCGTGGCGTGGCATGGCGTGGCATGGCGTGGCATCAGGAGCCGGAGTTTGAGGAGGCGGCGTTCAAGGCGAGGCCAGGCGATGTGGTGCGGTGCAAGACCAAGCACGGATGGCACCTGCTGCAGGTGCTGGGGGACAGGTGAGCCACCCCTTGCATGTTGCATGCACTTCCGCTGCCCCTCTCTCACTGTGCTCTTTGCATGTTCCATGCTCCCTCACCCTTCTCCCTTTATGCCCCCCTTCTCATCTGCGCCCAAGCATCCTGACCTCTTCTCTTCCTCCACTCCCCCACCCCTCCTCCCCTCCTCCCCCCCTGCCCCTCGCCCGGCCGGCATGACCGTGTCAGGCACGCGGCGGTGCTGGACCAGGTGACGGTGGAGGAGTTCGCGCGCCGCCTCAGCGAGGAGTACGTGATGCCGCTGCCACAGGGGGGTGCAGCGGGCAGGGGGGCCGGGGACAGCGAGGGGCGGTCGCTGGAGGCAGAGCTGGCGGAGGCGCAGGCGGAGAGTGAGGGGAGGCGCGCCGTGCAGCTGGTGGACGTGCGCGAGGCACGGGAAGTGTGCGTGCATGCTGCCCCTCTGCCCACGCCATGCCACTCCATGCCTGCCGTGGCATGCCATGCCCATGCCATGCCATGCCCTGCCATGCCCATGCCATGCCATGCCATGCCATGCCATGCCATGCCATGCCATGCCATGCCATGCCATGCCATGCCATGCCATGCCCTGCCATGCCCATGCCATGCCATGCCATGCCCGTGCCATGCCCTGCCATGCCCATGCCATGCCATGCCATGCCATGCCCTGCCATGCCATGCCATGCCCTTCCATGCCCTGCCATGCCATGCCATACCATGCCATGCCATGCCATGCCATGCCATGCCCTGCCATACCATGCCATGCCCTGCCATGCCATGCCCTGCCATGCTGCCATATTTTGGTTTGCCCATGTGGCATTGATGCTTCCCTTCCTGCTGCCTTCGTCGCCCCCCCTGACTTGCGTTGCTTCATCCACTCCCACTCTTCTCGCTCCCCGTCCCCAAATGAACCACGCCCTCTCTCCCCTTCTCTCTCCTCTCTCCTCAATTCTGCCACCTCTGCTGTGTTGTGCCCTGTTGTGCTGTGCTGTGCGGTGCTGTGCTGTGCTGTGCTGTGCTTTGCTTTGCTGTGCTGTGCTGTGCTGTGCTGTGCTGTGCGGTGCTGTTCTGTGCTGTGCTGTGCTGTGCTGTGCTGTGCTGTGCTGTGCTGTGCTGTGCTGTGCTATGCTGTGTTGTGCTATGCTAAGCTGTGCTGTGCTGTGCTGTGCTGTGCTGTGCTGTGCTGTGCTGTGCTGTGCTGTGCTGTGCTGTGCTGTGCTGTGCTGTGCTGTGCTGTGCTGTGCTCTGCTGTGTTGTGCTATGCTATGCTGTGCTGTGCTGTGCTGTGCTGTGCTGTGCTGTGCTGTGCTGTGCTGTGCTGTGCTGTGCTGTGCTGTGCTGTGCTGTGCTGTGCTGTGCTATGCTGTGTTGTGCTATGCTATGCTGTGCTGTGCTGTGCTGTGCTGTGCTGTGCTGTGCTGTGCTGTGCTGTGCTGTGCTGTGCTGTGCTGTGCTGTGCTGTGCTGTGCTGTGCTGTGCTGTGCTGTGCTGTGCTGTGCTGTGCTGTGCTGTGCTGTGCTCTGCTGTGTTGTGCTATGCTATGCTGTGCTGTGCTGTGCTGTGCTGTGCTGTGCTGTGCTGTGCTGTGCTGTGCTGTGCTGTGCTGTGCTGTGCTGTGCTGTGCTGTGCTCTGCTGTGTTGTGCTATGCTGTGCTGTGCTGTGCTGTGCTGTGCTGTGCTGTGCTCTGCTGTGTTGTGCTATGCTGTGCTGTGCTGTGCTGTGCTGTGCTGTGCTGTGCCGTGCCGTGCCGTGCCGTGCCGTGCCGTGCCGTGCCGTGCCGTGCTGTGATGTGCTGTGCTGTGCTGTGCTGTGCTGTGCTGTGCTGTGCTGTGCTGTGCTGTGCTGTGCTGTGCTGTGCTGTGCGGTGCTGTGCTGTGCTGTGCTGTGCGGTGCTGTGCTGTGCTGTGCTGTGCGGTGCTGTGCTGTGCTGTGCTATGCTGTGTGTGGTGGTGGTGGCACGCAGGGAGATGGCGGCCATCCCCGGGTTCACAGTGCTGCCGCTGAGCCAGTTCGGCCAGTGGGGGCCGTCCATCGCTGACACACTCGACCCTCACACTGACACCTACCTCCTGGTATCGCACACAACCACACAGGACCGTGCTGCCTGCTACCCACCCAGTATCACCATGTTATCACCTTTGCCATCTCTCCTCACATGACGTACATCTCACCTCACGTACCATGCATCTCACCTCACGTACCATGCATCTCACCTCACGTACCATGCATCTCACCTCACGTACCATGCATCTCACCTCACGTACCATGCATCTTTCCTCATCCTTGCAGTGCCATCCTATGTCCTATTTCCCCCCTATCATCCCTCCTGTCCCCGCTCGTATCTCATCGCCTGCTCATCCCATGTTCTCTCCTCCCTTTTCATCTCATGTCGACCCATCACATGCCATTCAAACCCAACCACGCGCCGCCCCCCCTGGCGGCAGTGCCATCACGGCATTCGCTCGCAGCAGATGGCCCACTGGCTCCAATCCCAGGTCGCCCCGCCACCCACCCTCGCTCCCTTCCACCCTCGCTCCCTTCCACCCTCGCTCCCTTCCACCCTTGCTCCATTCTTTGCTCTTCCCTCCTCTCTCTCCCTTCCTCGTATCCCTTCCTCCGGTCCACATCTCCCGTCATCCGTCCGTCTCCCTCGCTCACCACTACACCCTCTCCCTTCCCTCTCTCTTCCTGTTCTGTTCCACCTGTTTCTTCTTCTCCTCCGCGTGTTGGTGCTCATGTCACAACAGAACTATTCGATTGACCATTGTTGAGTTCCTCACAGCCACCTGCTCACCCCTCTCCTAGTCCGTCTCTTGTTTTCTTTCTTTCCCACTCCTTCTCTACCCCTCTCCTCTCTCTCCCCTGCGTCTCTCACTAGACCCTCTTATCCCATCACTACACTTGGTGCACATTCCACAGCACCGCCACTCATGGAGCTTTGCTGCATGCAGCTCCACCCACAACAATGCGACTTACTACTCTGCCACGTCATCCCCCACTCCTCCAATGTGCTCCCTCCTGCCGTGCCTCCAGGGCTTCACGCGCCTGTTCAACATTGCCGGGGGCATCGATGCATACTCGCTCAGGGTCGACCCCTCCATCCCCCGTTACTAGCAGCTCAGCGTGTTTCTCTCAGTACTGCACGATGCAAAAAAAGGGGCGTTGTTTAGAGCGCAACAGGATGTCACGATATGGCATGCAGTCGTAAAAAACAAATCTCTTGCTTTGTTGTTTTTTATGAGCGATCTATATTGCCTATTGTAGACGACAGCAAGACGCTCCAGATCCAAGTTGAATCAGGTCATTTGAAGCTGTGACCAGAACGCTATGAACGTTTGAAGCCGCTGTGCAGAAATCTGACTGTGCACTCTATCTTTCGTTTTAGGCACATTGGAGCCTACTGTGACTATAACATGTACAACCTTTAAGGGTTGCATATTTGTATCTCATCCTTGTTAGCCATCGGCCCATCGCATTTCCGCTTGCACAACTTCTGAAGATTGACCGCGCAAGAAACATCCGTGCATGCTGCTGCTGCTGGTGTACCATACTGTCAAGTATTCTAGCCATTAGTGGGTTGTGCAGTAGGGGGTACAAACAGTTAGAGGTAGGAATATGTACCCCAATCCATCCAATGCAACTCATTCCGCTATAGCCACTTACTGAGATGGTATCAGCTAGGTTCCTCGCTCCTAGGCCCTAGGTTTAGGGTTTAGTTCCTTCCCTAGCTCGCCAGACACGCGAGCGCGCTAGCGCGCTAAGCCCTAAGTCGCCAGCCAGCCAGCCAGCTACCCCCTAACGCGCCACGCTGCCGGTCGACCTGCAGCGCGGCCCGTCCCCTAGCCACCGCGCCACCCGCTCGTAGGCCCGCGCGTCGCATCGCCTAGCCGCGCAGCCCGGCCGTAGGCCCGCCCGTCGCCTCGCCCGCCCGTAGGCCTGCCCGTCGCCTATCCCGCCCGTAGGCCCGCCCGTCGCCTATCCCGCCCGTAGGCCCGCCCGTCGCCTAGCCCGCCCGTCGACCCGCCGCGCCGCCTGTAGACCCGCGCGCCGCGTCGCCTGCCCGTCGACCAGCTGCGCAGCCCGCCCGTCGACCCGCCGCGCCGCCCGTAGGCCCGCGCGCCGCGTCGCCCGCCCGTCAACCAGCTGCGCAGCCCGCCCGTAGACCCGCCGCGCCGCCCGCCACCCAGTACGCCGCGCTGCACGCCCCATAGCGCGCCGCGCCGCCCACCAGCCAGCGCACTGCGCCGCCCACCTACCCACCTGCATGCCTCCTCGCCTGCCCACACGTTACTGACTGTCTCCCCCCTCCCGTGGCTGGCAGCCGCGCTCTCTCAGTTTCGCCCCCTATGGCGACCTCCCAAGTACTTCGTTTTGACCCTGAGGGGAGACCTATTGACTTTAGTACGTGGCTTACGCAGGCGCAGCGCCACCTTAAGAGCCAGCGGCAGGATAGCGTGCACCTGTTCGCACATGCGTCCGGCACTCTGACCGCCCCTTTGCAGCCTCGGCCGCTGCCCACTACCCCACCGCCTACTTCTGAGCAGGAGGCCAACTACCAGCGCCAGCTCCTTGCTCGTGACGTGTGGGAGTCTCGTGACGCCGCTGCCTGCCTCGCCCTGACCGACCTTCTCCCGCCGACAAAGGCAGTCCACTTCGCTCAGGTCGAGTCTGCTGCAGATCTGTATAAGGCTATTGTTGCTCGCTACTCCACTCCCTCCTCTGCTTCGCTAAGTCGCCTCCTCGTACCCTTTATCTACCCTTGCCTCGCCTCCTTTGAGACTGTCTTTGACCTCGCTACCCACCTGCGCTCTCTTGGCGCTCGCTTTCGCGCTGCTTGCACTGAGGACCAGCTTGCCCTTGCCCCGCCCCCTATGTGGCTCACTATTCACTGGCTAGTCACTCGCCTCCCTGACCGCCTAGCCACAGCCCGCGACGCGCTTCTTTTGAAGCACCCCATTGAGCTTACCATTGATCTTCTTAAGACCGCTCTCTCGAAGATCGAGAGTAACCTCTTTACTGTTGCCTCTGCCTCTTCCGCGCCTCCTCCTCGTCTTTTTGAGGGGTGTGCGGTACCACAGCTTCCCACCTTCGCTGCCTCGCTTGCCACCCCCACGTCTTCTGCCTCTGAGGAGACGGCGGTTGTTTCTGTCTCTGGCGGACAGAAGCGTGGCAAGGCCGGCAAGAAGGGCGGGAAGGGCGGCGGGGGTACTGGGGGTGGTGCGGGTAGTGGCGGCGGCGGTGGGGCAGGTGGTGGGAGTGGTGGTGGGGGTGGCTCGGGCCCTGACGGCCCTCCTCTCGACGGTGGAGTTTTCACTGGTGGTGAGGGGTTCCCGCAGCAGCAGCAGCAGCCGACTTCTCAGCAGCTGCCACCGCCTGGACAGCAGCAGCGGCAGGGACAACAGCAGCAATGCCCGCCACAGCAGCGGCCTCAGCAGTGGGGCCCGCCGCAGCAGTGGGGCCCTCAGCAGTGGTGGAGGTCTGCGGGTCCCCCGGGAACTGGGCGCAGTGGCGCCCCCTCCAGTCGGGGACCTCGCTCGGCCGGCTGCGACGTTGGTCCCTGTGAGTACTGGATCCTTACGGGTCCTCGTCGGGACTCGTACTGTGGCCGCCCCGACCACTCTGCTGCACGCTGCTTCAGTCGTCTCGACGACCTATACGTCTTGCACCACGGCCCCTCCGCTCCCCCGCCGCCACGCTGGGGTACGCTTCTTGCTCGTGGTATTGCTGTTTTTGATATGACTATGGATGATGCTAGGTCATATGCGATGTATGCTGATGTTGACTATAGTGCTCATGGATCTGTGTACTTGCCTGTCACTAGCTTAGGATCTTTGCCTGTTGCTAGAGTAGGTGCTCGTGTAGGATCTTGTTTAGCTACTAGTACAGGTTCTCCCTCGGCGGACGCCTCTCTCTCCTTCACACTGGACTCAGAAGCGTCGCACTGCTTCTTCCGCGACTACACGACTCTCTCTCCGCTACCGGCGCCTGTCCCTGTAGCACTGGCTGATCCCTCCTCAGGACCGGTCATTGCGACTCACGCCACTACACTCCCGTGCCCAACTGCTCCTTCCGGTTCCCTGACTGGCCTCCACGTTCCTACGTTCTCTAGGAACCTGGTTGGTGTGGGCACCCTGGCGAGACAGCACGTCGGGGTCTGGGTTGAACCTTCTGGTGACACCGCAGTCTGTGTGGACGGTGACACGTACGCCCCCTTGGCCACGTTTCGCCAGGAGCCGGGCTCCGGTCTGTACACCCTCCGCACCGACGCCCGTCAGGTTCCCCCGTCCCACCAGGTAGCCGGGTCCAGTTAGGTTGCTGTGTCAGGTGTAGTTGCTGCGTCGTGCTCGTGTCGGTCGCTTGCCCACCCCTCCCTCCTCTGGCACCACCGCCTTGGTCACCCTTCCCTCCCTCGTCTCTGCGCAATGTCTAGTCAGCGTCTTGTATTAGGCCTCCCCCGAGTCCTCCCGCCGCTCTCGCCGTCCCCAGCTCCTCCGTGCGGTCCTTGTGTCCAGGGTCGGCTGCGCGTCACCCCCCACTCCTCCTCCCTTCGTCCGGCCACCGAGCCCTTCCAGACACTATACTTAGACGTCTGGGGCCCCGCTCCCCGCCTTGGCCCTGAGCGTGAGAGTTTCTTTCTGGTGGTCGTTAACGATTACTCTCGGTACACCACCGTGTTCCCTTTGGCGAAGAAGTCCGACGTGACTTCTACGCTGATCCGGTGGCTGCTCGCCACCGAGGGTACTCGAGGTCGTCGTGTCAGTTGTCTCCATTCCGATCGTGGGGTTGAGTTTCGCTCCAGCATTCTCGCCAGATTCTGTGCTGAGCAGGGCATCACCCAGTCTTGGACTCTTCCAGACGCTCCACAGCAGAATGGGGTTGCTGAGCGTCGCTTAGGCCTGGTCATGGAGATCGCCCGCACCTCCATGATCCACGCCCGCGCGCCACATTTTTTGTGGCCCTACGCGGCTCGGTACACCGCTCACCAGCTGAACCTCTGGCCTTGCGTCTCTCGGCCAGGGGCTTCACCGACCAGTCTTTGGACAGGGTCCCCTGGTGTTGCGTCAAGGTTTAGTGTCTGGGGCTGCTTGGCTCTTGTCCGCGACACCTCTGCGGACAAGATCTCACCTCGCGCCGTCCCCTGTGTCTTCCTTGGTTTCCCAAATACCTCCTCTGAATTCACCTTTTACCACCCTCCCTCCCACCAGTTCTTTGACTCTCGTGACGTCCGTTTCAACGAGTCCGTCCCCTACTACGTCAGGTACCCCTGTCGAGGTCTCCCGGTTCCCCCCCCTCCCCTCTTCCTGGCTCCAGCTCTTCCTCCTCCCGCCCCTGCTCCTCCGGTACCCCCCCCTGTTCCCGCTCCGTCTGGAGTGTCCCACGCTACCCCCCCCCCTCGGTACCCCTCCAGGTCTCTCCTCCTTCCCCACAGTCGTCCTCACAGCCTCCGCAGCAGCCGCCAGCGCTTCCTCTACCGGCCACTGCGGACTCTGAGGGTGTTGGTGCTCGAGGTGAGGGCTCTGGCGGTGCTTGTTCTGGGGGTGCTGGCGTTGGAGTTGTTCGTGCACCTACAGGAGCCGCCCGTTCAGGGGGTGTTGGCGTTGGCGCTGAGCGTGCACCTGCCGCGGCTGCCCGTTCCGAGGGTACTGGAGCTGGTGGTGGTGCTGGAGCTGGTGGTGTTTCTGGAGCTGGAGAGTCTGGGGCTGGTGCTGGTGCCACTAGAGGCACCACGACTGGGGGTGCGGGTACACCTCCTACAGGTACTGGTTGTGCTGCCGCAGGGGGTACTCGCTCTGGGGGTGCTCAGCCGGGTCCTTTCGAGGGTGGAGCCGGTTCTTCTTTGTCGTCTCCTGACACTACTCCTCCTCCTCACCCCTACCCGACTCGACACCAGGCCCGTCTTCGTCTTGCGCGCGAGGAGCAGCAGCGTGTGGAGAGTGAGAGGTTGGAGGTTCAGCAGCGGGTGGAGCGTGAGAGGTTGGAGTTGCAGCGGGAGCAGCAGCAACAACAGCAGTAGCAGCAGCAGCGGGGGCCGCCGCCGCAACAGCAGCAGTTGCAGTAGCCACAGCAGCCGGAGCCCCCTGTTACTGGCCTTCGGACCCTTGGTTTCCCCTCAT